CTCATGGGGTTTTCAGTGTTCTGGTAACAACCCTGGCAGGGAGCCCCCCTGGGGTCAGGGCAGAGCTGAAGGGAGCAGATTATGCCATAAACAACAGTCCTTGTCCATACTGGTACTAGACAAAAAGGCACTGCAGGTAGCCTTGTTACTTGGAAATAATGTGGAAGGTGTATTCAACTGCAGATCTTGGGTTAGCCCAACCACATCTTTGCTAGCATTTGCAACAGTTCCCATCAGAGAAAGCTGGTAGTGACCTACCTTCAAATATCCTCTAGCTGGATGCTTATGTTGAAAACATGGAGGAGAACTGAAGCCACCAAAGAATGTAGTTACATTGCCTGGATGGTTGTCATACCTCTGTATGCGTCCATTCCTGGAGAGGTGGAGGTGTGAATTTTCTTCCACCCACTTCTTCAGTCTCCTGCTTGCAGGTAGTTACTGGGATTTATAAAGAGTTGAGGGTAGCCTCCTGCTCCAGCTCAGTTTTCACCTTGTTTTAAAAACATCTTATGTGATGATTATGTAACGAAATCTATCCCAAATAGATTTCATTAGAGATAATTCTCACCAACAAGAAAGGGCTGTTGAGGGAGGCTGAGCTCAAGGGCAGCCTTGGTTGTAGCAAACATGAAATGGTGGAGTTCAAGACCCTTAGGGCAGCAAGGAGGGCTCACAGCAAGCTTACTACCCTTGACTTCAGGAGAGCAGATTTCAGGCTCTTCAGGGATCTGTTCAAGAGAGTGTCATGGGGTAACATCCTGGAGGGTAGAGGGGCCCATGAAAGATGGCTGATATTTAAGGATCACCTTCTCCAGGCCCAAGAGCAATGCATCCCAACTAAGAGGAAGTCAGGTAAAAACTCCAGGAGGCCAGTGTGGATAAGCAAGCAGCTGCTAGAAAAGCTGAAACTTAAGAAGGAAGCACACAGAAGGTGGAAGCAAGGGCAGGTATCCTGGGAGGATTACAGAGAGGTTGTTTGAGCAGCCAGGGATCAGGTTAGGAGAGCCAAATCCCAGATGGAATTAAATCTTACCAGGGATGTAAAGAAGAGTAAGAAAAGCTTCTATAGGTATGTTGGGGATAAAAGGACAACCAAGGAAAATGTAGGCTCTTTCCTGAAGGAAACAGGAGACCTAGCTATGCAGGATATTGAGAAGGCTGAGGTTCTCAATGACTTCTTTGCATCAGTCTTCTCTGGCAAGTGCTCCAGCCTCATTGCAAAGGCCACAGCAGGTGAAAGCCAAGTCTGTGGGACCTGATGGAGTCCATCCACAGGTCTTGAGGGAGCTGGTGGATGCAGTTGCTAAGCCTCTGTCCATCATATTTGAGAGGTCATGGCAGTCTGGTGAGATTCCCACTGATTGAAAAAAAAAAAGGGAATATAGCCCCTGTTTTTAAAAGGGGAAAAAGGAAAACATGGGGATTACAGGCCAGTCAGTCTCACCTATGTGCCTGGCAAGATCATGGAACAGATCCTCCTGGAGAGTCTGCTAAGGCACATGGAAAAGGAGGAGGTGACTGGTGACAGCCAACATGGCTTCACTAAAGGCAAGTCATGCCTGACCAATCTGGTGACCTTCTACAAGAAGGCTGCAGAGATGCTGGATAATGAGTGGCAGAGCAACTGACGTGGATTTGTGCATGACATTTGACACTTCCATATGACATCCTGGTCTGCAAACTGACAAACTTGGATTTGACAGATGGATCACTCGGTGGGCAAGTAATTGCCTGGATGGCTGCACCCAGAGAGTTGTGGTCAATGGCTCAGTGTCCAGATGGAGGCAGGTGACGAGTGGTGTCCCTCAGGGGTCAGTATTGGGACCAGTGCTGTTCAACATCTTTGTTGTAGACATGGACAGTGGGACTGAGCATATCCTCAGCAAGTTTGCTGATGGTATCAAGCTGTGTGAAGTAGAGGACAACCTAGAGGGAAGGGAAGCCATCCAGAGGCTGGAGAGGTGGGCCAGTGCCAACCTCATGAAGTTCAACAAGGCCAAGTGCAATATCCTTTACCTGGGTCAGTGCAACCCCAGGCACAAATACAGGCTTGGGGGAGAATAGTTGGAGAGCAGTCCTGAGGAGAAGGACTTGGGGGTGGGAGGAGATGAGAAGCTTGACATGAGCCACCAGTGTGTACTGGAGCCCAGAGAGCAACTGCATCCTGAGCTGCATCAAAAAAAGTGTGGCCAGCAGGGCCAGGGAGGTAATTCTCCCTGTCTATTGGTGAGACCACATCTGGAAAACTGTGTACAGCTCTGGAGCCCTCAGCACAGGAAAGATGGAAAGGGCCCAGAGAAGGGCCGTGAAGATGATCAAAGGCCTGGAGCACCTCTGCTATGAGGACAGGCTGAGGGAGTTGTGGCTGTTCAGCCTGGAGAAAAGAAGGCTCTGGGGAGACCTTATAGCAGCCTTCCAGTGCCTGAAGGGCACTTTCCAGGAAAGTTGGAAAGAAAATTTTTACTACAGTGCTAGGACAAGGGGTAATGGTTTTAAACTGAAAGAGAGGAGATTTAGATTAGACATCAGGAAGAAATTCTTCACCATGATGGTGGTAAGGCACTGGAATGGGTTGCCCAGGGAGGCTGTGGATGCCCCCTCCCTGGAGGTTTTTAAGGTCAGGTTGGATGAGACTTTGTGCAGCCTGGTCTAGTAGGAGGTGTCCCTGCTCATGGCAGGGAGGTTGGAACCTGATGATGTTTAGGGTCCCTTCCAGCCTTAACCATTCTATGATTTTATGAAATATCAAGAGTCTGGGGCCTCTCCCTATCCATGTGGTAACATTGCATGTAGCAGGAGAAAGAAGCCACAGGGACACAGTCGATCATGCTGCAAGTCCTTACATCAAATTTGCATCATATTTGATTGGACAATTAACAGCTGCACATTTCTATTACATTTCTTACACTTGCAGTGCTTTGCTTCTCATCCGCCTGAGGTGGTGTGTTGCCATTCCCACGCTGCTGCTGCCAGCACTGCCCAAGCAGCAAAGCAGACGATCACGTTTGGAGCCAGGGTCCATTCTGTGCGCTGCTACACCCTCACAGGGTGGGCATGACAGGCTGCAAGATGCCTTTACACCCTGGCAGGCTGCACACAGCAGCCCAAATCGGAACGATAGGGCTCTTGTGAGGAAAAGGAGACTGCTTTCCAAGATGGCTTCTGGCAGGGAGGCAGGGACATTTCTCTGAGCAGCAGCCTCCAGGTAACCCGTGCTCAGGAACACACCAGGAGGCCCCGGGCACGCTGTGTGGTGTGAGCAGCCCCAGCCCCCCCGGCAGGGCCGGGCCGGGCCGGGCAGGCAGGGCAGGGCAGGGAAGGGAAGGGAAGGGAAGGGCAGGGCAGGGCAGGGCAGGGAAGGGCAGGGCCGGGCCGGGCCGGGCAGGCAGGGCAGGGCAGGGAAGGGAAGGGAAGGGAAGGGAAGGGCAGGGCAGGGCAGGGCAGGGAAGGGCAGGGCCGGG